GGATCAAGTCGGTCTACGTTCGAAAACGTGAACCTGGAGCAATCTGGGAGCGCATCCAGAATGGAGCGCCTGTAGGAGACATGGCCAATGTCTCAGAGCCGTGGTCCGACGTCATCAGTTTCACTCACCGTGCTTCGCAAGGCTATATGGCGCTGCAGCCGAGAGTGGTTTTGGCCCCAAGGTCCGAGATTCGCTCGTTCGTGCCGCCTACACCCCCAAAGCCTAGGAGACTTAGGGAATCATCCAAGACGTCAGGTTCCGAGGACACAAGAACACCAGAAGGGTCCATTATTTCTCAAACTGTTCGTCCAGAGTCTGAGCCACAATCGCCAACCAGTCCCGTATCCACAGAGTCCGCAAGTTACGAGCCAGTAGCACACATGGCATGGGACCTCGATAGGAGAGAACAGGTTGAGATCAATTTGGATGATAGCAATGAAACCGATTCGGAAGTCCCTCCAGATCCCAATACACAGCCAAGTAGTTCAGGAGTCTTGTCCATTCCATTGCAAATTGACCCCAATGAGAGAACCACCATGGGTAAGAAGCATAGGAGAGCAGTCTTGGAGGGCATTGACCGATTGAACTATCAAGATGCATTGGTCAAATCCAGCATTGGTCTGAAGGACGTCCCAGTTTCTGAGCCTCCAACCTTGGTCATTACTTCGCATCCCCGCATCTTTCAGGAGCTTCAAGCAGCAGATGGTGTTGCAGACGTTTTTGACGTCGGTGTGGGAGCTGAGTACCTCAATCCTGAGGAGGACTCCAAGATTTGGTATGATGTGTTGCAAGACTACAAGAACATCGTCATTGCCATCGAGTATGAACGGAGTACAGATCCTTTGAGACATGGAAAGATTTTGGGTGAAGTAGAATCCCATTGTGACATGAGTGGTAGCCGGTTTTTGCACATTGACGTTGCAACTACCCCGAGATGGGAGGAGCATGAGTTTCCACAGATTCCCCATATCAACGACCATGACTTGGCATTCACCTGCAATGATCCCAAGTGGACTGAGCTTTTCGAATCGTGGTTTCGAGGACAGACCATGAATGATGTTTTGTCTTGGCAGTTCGTTGATTGGTTAGGTGAATGGACCAATGACACAACTCTGGATGATGAGATGTCTATTGCATTTGTTGGTGAACTGCAGGAAGAGGTGATGGACGATGAACAGCAGTTCGATGCGATCTGGGATGATGATGACCGTGCTCAGGTGAACCCAGTAGAAGACCTGATCTCGGAAGAGACACTGGTCGATGAAGTAGACATCCCAGGCCTGCCAGCAGATGAAGCCGAACGACGCCGGATGTGGCGCAAGTTGCCTGCACGTGTGAGGATTGGTGTGAGAAGATTGCATAGGCAATTTGGACACGTCCCCAAACAGACGATGATCCATCTCCTTCGTGCAGCAAAGGTTCGAAAGGAATTCATCGATGCTGTCAGGATCCACAGATGCGAAACTTGTGAAGCAACATCCCAGAAGAAGGCCACGCACAAGACAGCATTGCCTAACAACTACTCGTTCAACCACACTGTAGGAATTGATGTGTTTGAAGTTCACGACATTTCAGGTGACAAGTTCCAAGTGTTGAACATGGTTTGTTTGGGTACTACTTTTCAGCTATGTGAGGTTGTTCGTTTTGGTGCCGGTCAACCGTCTTCTGCCGAATGTCTGAAAGCATTGAGGAAGCGTTGGTTCTCATGGTGTGGCCATCCTGTGAACATTGCATGTGACAGAGGTCTGCACAACCGAGGTGTCATGAAGAAGTACATGGATGAACATGGAATCCAAGTGTTCCACACTCCTCTGGAAAGCCCGGAGAACCTTGGTCGTGTAGAGCGCCACGGAGGGATTGTCAAATCACTCTTCAGGAAGGTCTGCAAAGAGACAGGCGCTATTGGCAGAGAACAGGTTGAGAAGGTACTGCTCGAGGTAGTTGCTACCAAGAACAACTCTAGTAGAGTCGGAGGTTTCTCACCTAGTCAATGGGTACTTGGAAAAGGACCCCGATCGGATCCGAGTCCATTGTCTGAAGAACGGTTCGCCGAGCTTGGAGCTATTGAAGCCCGTCACAACCCAGAGAGCATTTTCGCCTTACAGCACATGGCCAGGCAGGAAGCCCAGAAGGCATTTGTTCACCTAGATTGTTCGGCAAGAGTGTCCCGTGCGCTTACTCGCAATGCTTCTAGTCTCCCTCGGGAGTACGCAGTAGGCGATCTAGTGACTTTTCGCCGAGACAACCAAAAAGGGGGCACCACATGGAGTCCCACTAGCCGGGTGATAGGCCATGAAGGTGAAAGGAATTTGTGGTTGTTGTGTGGAAATGTTCCAGTGTTGGTTGCCAACCAAAACGTGAAGATTGCTACGCCGACCGAAGCACTAGCTCATGCTGTTTTGCATGGTGAACCTGTTTTTCCCGAAAACGTTGTCAAGGAAGGTGTTCAGCAGTCTTTCCTTGATGCACGTGCAGATCCGAGCGAACCCGGATCCCCGATACACATCGAATCTCAAGAAACCGAACCCCAATTTCCGGATGCTGGTTCACTACCCCCTGTTCCAGAAGATGATGAGTTAGATGTAGGGATCAGACCGGATTTCTTTGATGAAGACCAATCCGAAAGTGAAGATGCGCTTGAAGAGTTGAGTAGGTCCGCTAGCTCCGTTTCACGTCCGTTCCCTGACACAGGAAATGAGCATAGCCGCAATGTGAGGCCCCGTGTCGCCGAACCGGAGAGTGAACGCGGTACCTCATTGCAACCATCCCGCAGGGAGTCTACGAGTGCTCCACATGCATGGCCTAATGTGTATGATCATTTGAACGACTTGCCAGCTTCTCTACGAGAACATTTTGAGAGAGCACGCCAGAGAGACAGAGAGCTACCAGAGCAAGATCGAGAAGACGCACATGCCATGTGGACTAGTTTTCTTGCCCAGACTGAGGATGAAGCAGAGCTAGGTAAGAAGGTTCTAAAGAGCATTCACTATGAATCTGCGCCTCCAGAAGTGCAGAAAGCCCTGCAGGAAACAAGGCAAAAGGAATGGTCCAAATTTGAAGATTTCGGAGCAGTAGTGGCATTGAGCCCAGAACAAGCGCAAGAGCTCATTGATGAAGGGCACCAATGCATTCCATCCAAATGGGTGGATGTAGACAAAGCAGAGTACAAGAAGGGGAGAGACCCTGACTACAAACCCCAATACAAGAGCAGACTAGTTTCGCGCGGAAACTTCGAAGTGACAGAGGGTTTGAGGTCAGATAGTCCAACGGCCGATGTCGAGATGCACTGTCTCGTCTGCAGTTGGGCAGCCTGTCATCAGGCCGACATCCATTCAGCTGATATCACCTCGGCGTATTTCCAGGGACGACCATTGGATCGCGTCCTTCTCATGCGTCAGCCAAGAGGAGGTTTGCCAGGTGTAGAACCCAATGTCCTTTTTCTCGTGAGGGTCCCTGTATACGGAATCACGGACTCAGGAAGAGGCTTTTGGTTGCGTTTGGATGCCGATGCACGTAAGAGCGGCCTGAAGGCAAGCCAGTTTTTCCCAGGATTGTACTACCTCCCAGGTGAGCAGGGAGGAGATGCTTGTGCCCTCATGTGCACTCACGTGGACGATTTGCTTTATAGTTTTCTTCCGGAAGGCGAGGAAGTGATGAAGTCTTTTCTTGCCAAGTTCAGTGTCGGCAGCTCAGACACTAACAGCTTTCGATATTGTGGGAAGCAATTCGTGCGAGGAGATGACAAGGTCATCAAAGTCGACACAGCAGATAACACTCGGAAGATTCATGGAGCAGATGTTGGGTCTAGGCTAGGCAGTGAACGTCTCCAGCAAGGAGACATCACGAAGCTCAGATCGATCACCGGATCGCTCGCCTGGATCTCGAGACAGACCAGGCCTGACCTTGGTTACAGGGTAAGCCGTTTGCAGTCTAGCATTAAAGATGCAACTGTGTCCACGTTGGCAGACGCTAACGCAGTCGTTGTCCTGGCACACAAAGGTCACGATGTGGCATTGTGTTTTCCTGCGGCTCATCTCCAATGGAGTGAAGTTGGTGTGATCACGGTCACAGATGCCTCCTTCTCCAACGAGAAGAGCTACAAGTCGCAACAGGGCAGGATCCATTTTCTGGGTGATCTCAAGGAGATCAAAGATGACAAGACGACCACTTATAAGGTGATGCCATTGTCTTTTGGATCCACGACAATTAAGAGAGTCTGCCGCAGCACTCTCCAGGCCGAAACGTATTCTCTCCAGAACGGACTCGAGACAGGTGACAAGCTGAGAGGTGTGATTGCGGAGATCAAGGGCAAGATTCGCAGTTTGAAGACATGGGAAGATGATGCCCGTGAATGCATTCCGCATTTGGCGATGACTGATTGCCGTTCGCTTTCTGACCACCTCAATCAGGAAGTCCTGGCCAAGGTGAGTGACAAGCGCCTTGGTATCGAGTTGCAAGGAATCCATGAGAATTTGTGGCAAGAAGGAAGACCAACATGGATTGCTTTCGAGAATGGAGGAGACAAGTTGATCTGGATTGCCACCAGTACGATGGTGTCGGACTGTCTGACGAAGTCCATGAAACCAGATCTGCTACTTCGAGTGCTGAAAGAGTGCCACTACACTGTACAGAAGCAGAAGTAGATTTCTCCAATGCCTTAGGAAGACACAAGAGTTTCAATGTATAGCCGTGTGACACCTGTAGAACAGGTTGAGTGTGAATTTGAGGTAGGATCTCATTCTGTTGAGCCAGGTTGTCACACTATGTTGTGTCTGCCGCCGTTTGGCTCCTAGGGCCCTTGAGCTATACCGTGCTCGCTTTCGCAGTGAAAAGAGCGTGTGGACAGTACGATTCCGGTTGCTACCGACAATATAGTGATCACTGTGATCCCCATGTGACCTCCAATGTCCAACAGATTCTGGCAGACATTCTCAGTCACTCGCCGCTCGCGACGCCGGGACCAGCGTTCGCGGCGTACGTTCGCTCCGCTGTCGACCAAGGCCATCCCTCAAAGAGATGGTCACGTGCCACGCGGCGCGCGAGCACAACTTCACCGGTCGCTTTCAGTATGCCTCGCTGCTGCTGGCATTCAATGAGCACCTGGGAAGACATGGCAACCGAAAAAGAGGTTGGCCCACACCAGAGAGCGGGTTCCAAGACTTTGCTATGAGGGCCAGCCCTCAGACGGTTCAAACACTTGAAGTCTCAATTTCCAGCAAATACACTGCTAGTAGAGTCCCGGCAGATTTTGCTGCAGAATGTTAAAGGTTATCATTGCACTGGGAGGTGGCAGTGGCGACACCACCCACTCCTAAGGGTTGCCCAAAGTCGGTATGTGCGTCTCATGTTTACATATGTTTACCATGTTTGTCCGAGGAACTATGTGCAAGGACAGCCTGAAGAGAACATTGTCAAGGTGTGGCAAGCCGTTTGATCTTGCATACAAACACACCAGTGCATGCCATCTCGCCCAGGAAAGTCTCAAGTGTTGAAGTGTGGAGCCAATGTGGCTGGTGAGATTGGGGCAGGGAGATCATTTGTATCCCGAACTTCGAGCCTGGAGAATTCCCCTGCAGATGTGCATGTGCCTGTGCGTGCCTGCCCGTTTGTATACCAAAAGGGTGCAATGGGCAAGGGCAGATTTGGAACCCGATTCTCTCCTGGCTCTTAAGTCGTTGTTTTCCACTCGAGGCGCAGTCGTTTTCCGTTTTTAACGGTGTGACATGTCGATACGTTTCACAATATCAATGACATGTTTCCCAATTGCAAAGCAATGATGCCAAAACGTTGGCCCTAAGTGTGTTCTGTTCCAAAGCCACTGAAATTACTGTACAGTTTTCTTTGCTCATGCAGTACTCAACTCAAGTAACTAATCTGTGGTCTCTGAGTCATGGCGAAGAGAATTTCAGCGCTGCAGCCGAGTGGTGAAATCCTGCTTCTTGAAGTCACGCCAGAGACAACAGGCAAGGAGCTCAAGCAGCAGATCAAGGACAAACAGCGTTGGGACGAGCTCACTCACAAGACTACAGGTGTGGAGATCATTGTCGGACACAATCATTTGCTGGCAGATGATGTTGAGGTATTGGACGCTGGAATTGCTGAATATACTGTTGTGACTGTCGTCTTCAAACCAAACAAAGTCATCTGCTCCAACAAAGATACGATCGCCAGTCTTGGCCGCAACGTTGACCTGGAACTGCCGCTTGTGGTCGAAGTTCCAGATAATGAAACAGACATTCCGCATGATGCTTTCATGGAGTGCAAAACATTGGCGAAGCTGACCATCCCAAACACAGTGACCCACATTGGGGAATCTGCCTTTCACAGTTGCACATCTTGGTCAGACTTGACCATCCCGAACTCTGTGACCCACATTGGGGAGCATGCCTTT